CCCCCCCTCGCGCGGCTGCTCGCGCGAGGCGCGTGCCCCGCGGCCAATCGCGCGACGGCACGCGACAACGCCGGCAGCGATATTCTCGCGATCGGGCGCAGGTGCCCGCGGTATCGCCAAAATCTTCTCGCGTTCCCTCGATAGGGCTGTCGCAGCGGCTCCCCCGCTGACGCCCCTCAGGTATCGTGCCACGGGCCCTGGGCTCCTTCCTCCCGGCTCGCTGCTCCGCTCGCTCCGTGCCCGCTCCGCACGCCTCTCCACCGTGCTCGCCGCGGAATTCGTCCGTTAGCCGGGCCTCTCGTCTTTCCTCCGCCCCCGCATCCATCCGCACTCATACGCTCGCATTCATAGGACAAAAAAACAAAATAATCAGCAATCGCGTCGAATTGACCGAATACGGTCGCCTCTCTGGAGACTGCGGCACGGTTTTCCCTAATCTTGGCCTGTTGCCTTGAGGGAGGAACCCGGTGGACGCGCTCGCGGGACGGCAACGTCACAACATATATAAATATCCATTGTTATATTTGGCGTAATTTGTTGATGATATCATTACTTTTGTAGAGAAGATAGTTTTGTAGAGAAGATACATTTGTAGGGAAGATTTTTGTAGAGACAATATTTTTGAAAAGGTATTTTTGGATTGTCTAAGCCGCGGGCAACAGGCGTCCGCGGACGCCCAGCCGGCGGGCATGCCCCCACTCCAATCATCGCCCCACCACGTTTAAAACTATTTAGTTTAGTTGGTGCCATTTGATGATATCATTACTTTTGTAGAGAAGATAGTTTTGTAGTGAAGATATTTTTGTAGAGATGCAAAAAAGATAGAATAACAAAATATATTCGGTCGTTGGAGCTTATACTTGGTGCTTTTTTTTACCTTTTTTTAAAAAGGTTATAAAATTACTGGGCAGTATTAATAACTAGATTGTGATAAATTATTCCCAATTTTTACTTGCTCGTTAAAAGTTATTAAATATTGAATATTGCTATTTAAATATAGGATCTTATGGGAACTTTCGAAAGACAAATATTAAATAATTCAAAAACTGTTAAGAGCTAATACTAAAATTTGAATTTCTGTGTGGTATCATATTCTTGAAACATGTACAAATGTCTCTACGAAGTTTAATTTAATTTACTGGCTTATTTTGCAATTATTATATTATTGAAAAAATCGCTATGATACAGCGATGTGATGTCGACGACGAAACGTGACAACGCCGCATACCGATTGAACTTTTTAACCGTGCATACGAAATTTAAAAACGTTATTTTATATTATTTTCAAGAAAATCCAATCCTATTCACAAAGAACAATACTTCAAACTATAATTTCGTGAATTTCTGACAAATGTGTATCGATTAGAATTTATACTCTGTTAAAATTTAAATTTCTAATATTCTACACTAACTTTTGTAAAAGTGGATCTGTCCAATACATCCTAAAGAGCGTAAATTTGTTTCATACATATCGGAAAGATTAATATATAAAGGGTGTTTCAATAAGAAGGAATGATGTTAAACGTGAATTAAAAATCGGTGGTATACAAAAATGAAAATTTCTTTAATAGAACATGTTTGGTAGGCCATTACAATTAAGTATGGAAGATAATGTCCGCCAAATGTTCGCCACGGCTCCGGCGGCACACGTCAATCCGCTTATCGAAATTTGCTATCACATCTCGACACAACTGCTCCTGAATCTCTTCAATGTGGCGTGAAATTTCGTCTTTGAGTTGCTGGATGGTGGTAGGCTTGTTGGCATAGACTTTACTCTTCAATTTGGGGCCATTTGAAGAGTCGAATCGATTGTGAACGGAGTAGTTAGAATTGTTTATCCTCATTGTTTCCGTTTTGTTGATGTTGATTTTTAATCCAGCCTTCGCCGATTCCAAGCGGAGGTGGTTCATTTTTGATTGTAAGTGTCGATGGATATGCGATAATAAAATAATATCGTCGGCATATTCCATGTCTTCGAGACTCCTATTCATCCTCCAGGTTATACCCCTTTTTTGTGTGTCAAGGATTTCTAGAACCCAGTCTAGAGTGACAATGAATAACAGTGGTGAGAGTATGCAGCCCTGCCTCACTCCTGTGGTCGTCGCAAAGGGGTCGCTAAGTCTGCCTTTGTGCAATACTTTACAGGATGCGCCGTTGTATCCTTCCTTTATCAAATTTATTATTTTTGATGGTACACCTCGCCGCTCCAGCGCCGCCCAGATACATTCCCTTCTGACCGAGTCGAAGGCCTTCTCGAAATCAATGAAAGCCAAGAACAGGGCCGCATTGTATTCAATACACTGCTCAATGATGATGCGTATGGTGTTAATATTATCTATACATGACTGCTTTGCGCGGAAACCTGCTTGTTGTTTCCTTAACAGCTTATTCAGTGGATCAACTATTCTGTTCAGAATGATCCTGTTAAAAACCTTGCTAACTGCCGATAGCAGGGCAATTCCTCTCCAGTTGTTACATTCCGTAGTGTTGCCTTTCTTTGGTATTTTAACAATAACTGCTCCCTTCCATTCATCTGGAAGTCTCTCTGAGACCCAGATTTCCCTAAAGAGTGGATACAATATATTCGCTATGCCTTCCGCATCCGCTTTTAAACACTCACCTGGAATGTTATCTATGCCAGCCGCCTTCCCATTTTTAAGCGTCTTTAGAGCTTTTATGATCTCCGTTTTACTTGGTGGGTCAGTACATATGCTTCTTGTCGGTCGGTTAAATCGGTTTCCCGTGGGAAGATCATGTGTGTTTTGGGCGACAACATTAAAGGTTTTCTCAAAATGTTCTCGCCACAGTTTAAGCTGGTCTTCATCCATTGTTATAAGGTTTCCAGCATCATCTTTGATCGGTTGACAGCTATTAGTCTTGTCATTTGCTAATTTTCTTGTCACTCCATCACAGGGTTCTGATATCGCCTTTCTTTGCAGCTTCTTCCGCCTCGGCAGCCATGTCTTCAAAATATATTCTTTTGTCTTTCCTTGCCTGCTTCTTGATTCTTTTATTAATGTCAGCGTATCTGTTTTTTAATTCGCTCCCTCGTCTTGTATTAAGTACGTTTAATAGACGATCTCTGATGGCTCTTCTATCTTCGATCAACCGCCAGAAGTCTACCGACAGCCAATCCTTGTTCCGTTTACCACCGTGACCCAGTGTTTCAGCTGCTGATTCAGTGATTGAGGTTTTTATATTGTTCCATGTTCCATTTATGGGGTCTAGGGATTCCGTATCCATCCTCTCGGCATGTTTTGCGCGTACTGTCGACATGTATCTATCCCTAGTGTTCTCGTCCCGCAGTTTGTTTACTAGGTATTTTATTCTGCCCGGCTGTTGGCTGACTCTCCTAGGAGCTATTTTTAGTCTCAGCTCAGCCAGCAGCAGATAGTGATCGCTTCCGATTTCGGCGCTTCTTTTATTTCGGACGTCTAGTAGTGAGCGCCTCCATTTCCCACTCACACAGAAGTGGTCTAGTTGATAGTATTGTATGCGCCACGATGGGTTTGGCGCCATCCACGTTGCTTTGTGCTTCTCTTTGTGGATGAATAGCGATCCGCCTATCTTCAACCCATAGTTGGCACATATCTCGATCAGCAGTTCACCATTTTCATTTTTCTGTCCCACGCCGTGTCTGCCCATTATATGCTCCAAACCTTCATTTTCATTGCCTATTCTGGCGTTGAAATCACTCATGAGGATTACAAAGTCATTGTGGTTAGTTTCAGTTAATGTTTTGTCGAGCATGCTGTGAAATTGCTCCTTAGCTTCTAGTTCACTCTCTTCCGTGGGTGCATAACACTGTATGATTGTTATCTTGCGCCATTTGGAGTCCAATCTTGCAGCTGTAATTCTGTCTGATATAGCTTTCCAACTTAGCAGGGCCTTTCTATATCTTCTGTTAAGATACAGTCCCACTCCGTTTACGTGTGGATCGTCAGCATTCGGCATGCCCGAGAACAGCACCAGATCGCCGTCGGCGTTACTTAATTCTCCGCAAGTGTTCCAACGCATCTCGCTAATTCCCAATACGTCTATGCGCAGTCTCCTGCATTCTGATATAAGCTGCGCCAGTTTTCCTGATTGATATAACGTACGGACATTCCATTGAACAAATCGAGTCCTTGTTCTTGAGCCTGGTGTCGTCATAGTGATAGGCAACCGGTTTCTTTTCCTTGTAGAACTGAAAATCATCTTAAGTTTCGGGAGACAGAGGTGATTAGCCTTTGGGCCCTAGTTCGGTGGCAGGGCGGCTGCCTTTAATATTTGATTGTTCGATCTTTGGCGTGTGGCCTCTAAACTTGCCACTTCGCCATTTGTGCTGCAGATATTTCCTTCCACAGACATATATATTTGACACGGTTATTCCGCCGTGTACTCGGTCGCCAGAGCCTCGTTTGTAGAAACAGGGTGCACCACAAGTAGGTGAGGTTGACTGTTAGATCGGAGAGGCTATGTGTCGCATCACGATCTCTTGCCCCCCTCCCCCTTATTTTAGATGATAACTATAAATGAGAAAAATTGTATCAGATTGTCCAATTTAATGATAACGCAATTGATTGCATACCATTATTGTGGATATCATTGCATCATCAAAGTCTTCAGCTTGTCACAAAATTTATGCCACTCCCTTATACATTTCTCCTTATTACATTCGATTTATTGCAATTTTGGAGTTTTTTGTTATTACATAAAATATTATTTCTTTTTCTTCTTTTAGATAATAATTATGGACACAGTAATAAATATTAACGCAACTTTATCTAAAAATATATTATCTGTAATACGAAAATTGTTTCACCGGGTATAAATATAATTAATAAGCTCGCTTCAATTTAACAAAACTATGATCGTGTAGGCCAATGGGTTAACGAGCAACGTTGGTTTTGTAAGGTTTTTAGTAAAATGTGTTTCTCTTTATTCTTAACATTTATATAATACTAATAAATTACAATTCTAATCTAAATAACGAACGTTTCGACATTACTTTGTCTTCCTCAGCATTAAATCGTTTAAGCTATAGTAAAAATTGAGTATTAAATCTCAGTAATTTGGTATGTGCAATTATGAATCTTGTTGACATTTCTCGTTATAAAGGTTCTTGAGTGTTAACATGTCGCTTACTTGTTAATCAGAACGAATTCCGTATTCTGTGTAGAAGTCAGTTTTCTTTCGTATTATTTCGGTTTTTCTCACACTCCTGTTCCACTTTGGTAGAAATGAAAGGGAGTAGTCAAGGTATCTATTAGCTGTCGGTATTGTATTTTCTCAATTTTTATTATAGCTTAAACGATTTAACGCTGAGGAAGACAAAGTAATGTCGAAACGTTCGTTATTTAGATTAGAATTGTAATTTATTAGTATTATATAAATTAATAAATAAATGTTAAGAATAAAGAGAAACACATTTTACTAAAAACCTTACAACGTTGCTCGTTAACCCATTGACCTACACGATCATAGTTTTGTTTCACCGGGATCTAGCTATAAAATACATTTGTGTAAAAAAAATTGAAGGAAAACGAACATTAAAACCATCAGTATTTTATGACTGTATCAAGGGTAAAATTTTATTATTAAATATTGCAATTAATCTTTTTTTACATTTGTTTATTAACAAATATCAATTTTAGATCTTTTCTTGGCTAAAAGTCGTACTGGCCAAATTCGTGAATCGAATTTATGTGAAAAAATCTTCGACAAAAGCCTTGGTCCTATTTTTACTAACTCAAAAAACTGGTATAATAAACGACGATTTGTCGAGGCAGATACAAGAAAAGAAGATGATGGCTCAAATACAGAAACTAATGAAACGGACGATTTGCAAAATAAAACATAATGGACCATTAATCAGCTGTGCATTAAAGAAGTAAAATTTTTTTATGGAATTTTTATTTTAACAATTATTATTTTTATTTTATTTATTTACGATTTGTGCGAAATAATAAGAAACTTATTAAATGTTACTTAAGATAAAAGTTATCATATTAATAAATAAGAGGCATCACATAAATCTTATTGTATTTCAAATTTTTTTCTGTATGGTATACGCATTAGAATCATTTTCTGAAGTATCTGTTGTAATTTGAATTGAATAATATGTGATGACGTTTTCATGTTTAACTGCCACATACCTAAATGCGCTGAATCAGTAAGATAATAAAAAATTGATTTTTTAGGTATCCATTTCAAACCAGTAAGCTGCAATTTATCTTCAGTTATATATCCTAAATTTGTTAATTTTACAATAGTACCATCACTCAACATTATTATATCATTTGGTGGCTTTGTAGTCAAAATAAAATTCTTATATCTTAATTTAATTATGGATTCATTATTATTTATTTTCTTCACTTTTATAATTGTAAATTGCTTGGAAATGACAGGTCTATCCGTAATGTAATTTTGCTCATGCACTCGCCGACAGATCTGAGCAAGTGGCTTATTTGCAGTACGTAACATTTGTTTTATTAAACGTAGTTTATTTTCGAATGGAAATGCTGAAATATTATTCAAAGTATAATTATTATTTTTTACATCATCTGCCAAGTGAAGGAGTTAATGTGTATTGAGAGTTTGCATTTCTTCTCCGTAATATTCTGGCAGAAGTAAAAAAAAAATTTTTTAGATAGGAGCTTGCAAGTTCATTAAAAGTTTGAGCTAAATGTTTAGTACATAATATTCGGAAGACTGTGTGAAAAAGTAAAAAATGATCGTAAAATTTTGAATTTAATATTCCCTTAAATAAGATAGGACCTGCATACAAAGCAATAAAGCGAAGTTCTGATGCTTTTAAGTTAGGCACTGGAATCCGAGTGTTTCTCTGAAATTCGTCAGGAATACAAGACTTTAATTAAATATAATATTCTTTCAAATAATTTTTGTCTGTTTTGTGTGTTGAGTTTTACTGAACTTTTGTTAAATATTAAATTTAATATATATAATTTTTTAGTTATACCTAAACAGCAAAGGTGCATATAGTCTAAAGTAAAACTACTAATCATATTAATTGCTGGTTGAATACGTAGTAGTGGAGAAAATCCGGTATGATGCTTTTTCTGCTGTTGTAATCGAAATGATTTGTCCGCGTCGGTTCGCTTATTACAGTCTGTGTCAGGATAAATAACACGTCTTGAATTATTTCTTGATATATGTGACAGATTTTCCATATACTTCACATCTTTCACAAGCTGCGAAAACCTCCATGGCCATTTTATCTGCTTCAAAAATTTTCGAGCTGGAATATTACATATTATATGTTCTAGAACCACTGAAAAATGCTTATTCATAATATCAATTCCATCTCGGTGCAAAATATTAATTTTTTCAATGAAATCTTTCATGAACTCATTAATGTCACGAGGCTTGGAATTTCCATAATACATTGCAACAATGTACGGTTGATATACAGGGTGTTAATAAATCATCGCATTGGCGGTATTAATAATTTTTATAGAGAATATACTTTAGCAAAAAAGATAGAGCAACAAAATATATTCGGTTGAATTGGAGCTTATACTTGGTGCTTTTTTATCTTTTTTTAAAAAAGGTAAGTTTTTTACGTGATATCACACCTTTTGTAGTGTGTAATATCTCATAATGTACTCTTTACTTGGCACAAAACTCGACATTTTTAGAATAATATTATCACAACCCCGCCACTATGGGACGTTTCGCCTATTTTCTGGCCAAAAGTGGCAAAAATCAAAGTCGAAGTTCGTAATGTTTAACAATTGGAAAAGTTTCTATAAACATTAGTGAGACACGGAGAAAAATTTAAGACCATTTGTTCCACGCAAAGTATTTTTTCTGTCGCATTTTGTGTTCGAAAGTGTGTAAAAATGTACCTTGAAATCACGAAAGTTTATTGTTTCTTTGATCTTTTTTTTCTCCTCCAATGTTGAAGACGTACAAATCACTGCTTGAAATACTTTTTTAGCATAAGTTAATGCTTGAAAATAATAAAAATAAATTAAGCTTTGGCCGTTCTGGAGGGGAGAATTTTTGTTACAGACTGTTCCTTAATTTCTTTAATTATTTTTTTTTACTTGCGCTAAAAGCGGCCGTCTGTAATATTCTAGCTCTGAAATGCCGTTGAACGTAGGATATAACTCGGATCATAAGAAACGGTGGTGTTGTCGTTTCTTGCTTCAAAACTATCTCATGTACGCGCGAGCCGAGTCCTGTGTATTGGATTATACACCAATGATCGTTATGACCGTATATGGTAATGTTTCTCGATCACCGAAGCTGATTGGTGCCAATACGGAAACGAGATAAGTTCGTGCAGCATGTGCGAGGGAATATATTCCCCGAAAAATAGAGCGACACCACCACTTTCGTTCAGTTCTTAGAAGGGAAGAGAGCAGTCGAACATAAGCATTATATTCAGTGTGAAAAATCAGCTCAATAAATCTGTTGTTAAACTGCAGCTATAACTAAAGCTTGATTGTTCGAGCGTCCTCACCATCCTCCGAATCCACAGAACCAGTTCCTCGAATCGAGGAACAATTAAATTAAACAACAAAGAAACATTGGTCCTTCGAGCCGGATTCGGAGCGATCAATCAAGTGCAAGAAGACCAGTACTGCAGTCAGTGGTGCGTGGCACACAAGTGCACTGTTGAACCATTGTGCTGATAATCGCTCTTCTACTAACCCTTCGAGTGAACAAAAGGGACTTACTCGTCTAATTTATTGAGCGAGTTCAACGTCTTCTAAAGCTTGTCTTGTGAAAGTCAAAATCTCGTCTTCACTTGACATTCATTTGCACTGTTAAACAAGGGAAAAGTGCACAGACAGACTCAACTAACCGGTAGCTAAAGCTGGTGCATCCAAAGGGTGACGCGAAAACCTTGTCGTGTCGCAAAAACCTTGTGCTCCTAAAGATTATTCGTCCATTATAGAGTTTGAGGAACTCATCGCCGCGCAAACTAATACCGAGACCTTGATACTTCGAATCTGGACGACCTTTACGAAGCAAAGTCAAAGAGAACCGCCACGGCAATTCGGACCAGAATCGCCAATCTCAAGACGTATTGGGGAACCTGTCAGGCCAACCATGCGAAGCTCTGCTCCATCGCGGATACAGAGGACCAACAACACGAGTACTTCGTTCAAGATAAGTTTCTGTTAATTAGCGACTCTGTA